ACAGCCTTAATCCATGCTATTAAACTGCCTCTCTCTACAGAGCGGCCACATCCAAACGGTCTGTCACGAATAATCCCTGGCCTGTGCTAACTCTATACTCAGGAACTGTTTCAGAGAGTTGGTCTGAAAGACCATAAGCTACATCAGAGACATTGGTGATAACCCAACAGCACAGATGATCGAGCCCCAGCATCGGAGGATGCTCTCTGACGTGGTTCAACCTCTCTGTGTAGACATGGCCAAAGAGAGCAGAGCAGGAGGGAGAAAGGCAGACAGACCTGCAGTCATGGCATTTACATATCTTTAAGAAAGTTACTCACACTCTGCAATATACCCTAAGTGAGAGAAGACATAAGCCTGTACTGTCAAGAGTAAAGCAAGGGGGGAGAGAGAGAAGCATCTCCTTGGTTTTCCTTCTGCTTCCATGGTTGTGCTAGACCCTGTGCTGCCTACTGCCCGACTTTGGGAATGCAAATGAAAAAGATTCTTGCCCGTGACTGATCGGGTCAATTCTTCAAACTTGTACAAAAGAGGTAACATTACATTTTGTGTTTTATTTTTCCTGCCCAAGCTATGTGAAATATCTCTGTAAGAGTGAACTTGTGTGTATACCACGTAGGAGCAAAGTTTTAACTAACGACAAAAAATAACTAATATTTATCATTAACATCAGTGCTATACCATTAACTAACATTTACCTATGTTAGGCAAGTCTTTCCAAGGTACTCTCAGAACTACTGACAGGGTCACACTACTCTTAAAACTGGTATCAAGCTTCACCTGAGCTTCATCTAGATTAAGGTCAAATGACAGAAGACTCAATGTATCCCCAGTCAGGCAAGTCCATTTCTACAAAGTTGATTTACACATTTGTTATCATTTGATGCTGTTTTCTTATAAAGCAGACAGTGGGGTTGCCTCTCTAAAATTACCTAGGAAGCTGTATGCTCCAGTTAAAGACAGATGAAGCTACTAGTATTATTTACGGACAGTGGTAAGTACTTCTTTCACCTACTCGCCAACCCACACTGCAGTCAGTGGGACTGTACGTCCAAGCAGTTCCGCACAAGATGACATGTGCTGTTCAATGACAACCAAGTAAGTAAATTTCTCAAAATACAAAGGATATCCTTTGGCCACCCTGTTGTATTCGACTTGCAACAAATTTGGCTGTTGGCAGTCCGTCCTTAGCTCTGCAAGAGCACGGTAGCAGTGCTCTCCTCACTGCACATTTTAAACAGATTTTTCACCTCAGTATGTTCTTTAATTTTTTCCTATTTTTGTGCCTGCACAATTCTTCTGATACCAGAACAAAAAAAACCATGAAGGACTTGTTCTGACACAATGGGGTCCCTGATGGCTACAGTTTCCCAGTTCCTAAGAGGAGATCCCACTGTCTCTGAGCCCCTCTCTCCTGTTCTCCTGGGGCAGGAGAACACTTTGACATTTTCCTCAACTTCCGAAAGACAAATGAAATAAGCAGGCCTATGATCTACCAGATTTATTTTCCTACTTTGAGAAGCATAAGAAGGAGCTGTTGCTGCCTATTTAATCTTCTGCCTTTAGCCCAGGGAAAATGATCTTCCCAAAGGAAAAGAGCTATTCCCCCCACTCTTTGGCAGGATAGAAAGTGATCCCATTACTCCTTGAGAAGCAACAGCAGAAGGGATATTCTCACTTCCTTCCACAAGGAAGCAAAAGGGGATCAACAGTTTCTAAAACACTAACAGGCTCTGTGTAAGTGGAGCAGAGCAGGAAGTTTAGGCTGCATAAGGATTTTCTTTAGTTTAGTTGTGCCAGCAAAAAAAGGTACTTGTGATTTCCCTGTGAGTTAATGCAGATGAGCATTTTTCACTCTGTGATTTTACCTCAGCTAACTACTATCCAACCAAACTACTGTTCATCCCTTTCTTCTCCTACTTAATGCAGAACATTAACAGCAACTTCTAATTAAAGAATGCTCACAGAACATGGAAATTATAAGCCATAGAAAATACTTGCGTTGATTTACACTACTATTGCATTTTATTTTTCATAGTATGAAAAAACAATTGTAACTTACTACACCTTACTCAGCATTTCTTCAATGTTCTTCCTTACTGAGACTTTAAAAAGGTTAATGGTAATAAAACTGAAAACATCACTTAAAAAACAGTGCATTAGCCTAACTCTTATCACCATGAAAACCTTGGATTCTTCTGTCCTGAAACTTCACACCAGGACAGCAGAAACACCACGTCTGGCCGGCAAAATACACACCTAAATACTTCAGAAGCCAAGAGCTTTATACATCAAAATTGAAATTTTAGTCATACAATTTTGTATTCTGAAGTTATTTCTGAATATTACCAAACCACACAGTTAAGCTAAGCTTGTTTTCATGACCTGACATAGTACCACTAGCACAGGACATGACCTAAATTGGCTTATTGTAAGAAAAGCAAAATACCTTACTTTTCTTCAACTCCCAACTGTGATGATATGAATGATGGAAGACCTCAGGGCCTTATTTTTAAAGGCATGAAGTCATTAAGTGCTGGGAAACGAAAAGCCTTTCAGAATGTGATCCAAACGCAGGAATTTACCCGCCCACTCTGCTCTTCCTCTTCACTGGGATGAGTGAGGATGTTCCCTGTATGGAGATCTAGGTGCTCACTCTTTGGGTAAGGCATGGATGACAGTTCTGTAATTGCTTAAAATGGTGTGCAAATAGACACTAATCCTCCTCCTCCAATACTGAATTTTGAATCTGAGAAACCTTTTCACTGAAAACCTATCATTTCTTAATGCAATGAGAACAGGACAGGTTCCTGCAGTGGAAATATAAACTCCTCCCAGTTTCTCATGCTCATGGCAGCACTTTGAAAGCGTGACCTCCTAAACTTTGATGCACACTTGTGCAGAAAGGTCACTTCAGATAATACTTCAGCAAAGACAAACGCACCACACCATTATAATAATAAATGATACGTGAATTATAAATTTGGCACAAAATTCTACACTGTGAACAAAATTACATTAAGATAGATAAAAAAGCCAGGAAAAGCAGAAAAGAAAATTATAACTCTAGTGAGGGAGTGGTCTTCAAGGCAGCTCTTAAGTAAATATTTTTATCAATTTTTTTTTCTTGAAAGTCTCCTGTGAGTTTTCTCAAAAAAAACCCCAAAAATCCCCCACCAAAAAAACACCCCCAACCCCCAAAAAACCGTAAGAGCAAAAAAACAACACAGCAAGAAGGGATCATGCACAGCTCAAATATTTTTGCAGATTCTCCAGCTGCTAAAACCTATTGTTGTTTTTTTTAAGGCTATGACTGCTCCCACATTCCTCTCTCAGAATCTACTAAAGCTGTGCTGTTGGCAAGTATTGCTGCATTACTTTTAGATGACATTTAGTCCTTTTGCTCTTGGTACTCATGAACTGGGCTTCAAAATTAAAGGGAACTGCCCTCAGAGATTGCAGAAACAATGGAGACCAAAACCAAAAAAAAGTTCAAAAATTTGCATTCTGTCTCAAGATAAATTCCAAAATCCAAAGGAATTTTTGTCACTGATTTGCTGTTCCCACTAAATACTTAATAATGAATGATCCAACTTTCCAAATATACTGCAGAAGATTTGTCCTTGATATCTACAGATTTTTTTTTTAGTTCAGGTTCAGATGCTAATATATGAGCACTGTTTTTTTTCTGATACAGTGATAGCCAAAGTAGTATTTTTTCCCTCTTGTTAGATACTAAAATTTGAGAAAGACGAGGGCTGGATCTTTACCACTTGCCTGCTAGGTGCAACGTTTGCTGCACCAGTGAGTATTACAGTCACGTTGTGACTACAACAGCAATTCAGTCCTCAGTTTTGGTAAGCTTGACAGTGAATACTCTTCTTACTTTGTGATGCAACATCAACCATACATATACAGAATGATAAAGTGAAAATTCCAAGGGAGAGAATGAAGATTTAGCTGGTCTGTATGCTAAATGCTCTGACTAGGGTTAATTTTAGCAGACCTCTTGGGAATGCCTTGTCTGATCCATGAGACAGTGCCATCGGCTGGGGAAGGAGCCTTGGTGCTGAGAGCTGGGGAGGGTCCCTCCAGCAGGGAGGGACCCCTTCAGAGCAAGGACCCACCTAAACCCCAGCATCGGGTGCACGTGGCTGGCCGAGCCAGTGGTCAGGGAGCCAGAGAGTATCCACAGCACAGCGCCGCACAGACACGTCTGGCATGCACAGGGGAGTGTTAGCAAAGAGTCGCCCACCTTGGCCTCAGAGTTAACACAAGGCATTTAACAGCTCTGTGCCATCACCGCTTTCTGAAGATTATCCTGCTTTCATGAATAGCAAAGGAAAAAGATTAGTACTGTAGATGAAAACTTGCCCTTCTGAGACCTAGAATACTATTTGGTGTGCCACGGAGTTGGCAGCCACTCTGGGCCAAAGGGCTGGATTTCTTTTCCAAACTCCTCCAATCTTACTAATCTTTCCATAGGAATGAAGTAGAGATAGCAACACTGTTTTTGACTGCTAATGCTTCATGTAAAAATAAGCTCATAACGACTTCAGACAGAAGGCAAATCTGCCAGTCAGCAAAACATTTAAGTACATGCTTAGTTTAAGAAGTTTTGCTATCTATTGTGTGCAACTATTCTCTTGAATCACAGATGTAGGCTGGCTTTTGTACAGACCAACTTGAGCTATTTAGCTACTCATCCCACCCATACCGGCATCCTAGAAGGGAATGCTTTGGCCTAAAGAAGTGCTCACTCTTTCTATCGACTACAGTGAGGAACAAGACAATTGCCTTATATGTTTAACTGGTAGATGAGAAAACTCATGCTTGAAAAATCCTACCCATAATGGCTTACCAGTAACTCAGCGAGACAAATCTGTCACCGCTATATTCGTTACATGAACTCAAAGATTGTCAGCAAAACCCAGGCCAAGCGCTATGTTACTTCAGAGTAATTTTACTTCGTAACACCATCTTAGAGTTTCCTTTTCTAGCTACCCCCCCAACCCAACACATCCTGGTTTTAGCAACTTCAGCTAGGAGGTAAAATATTTTAATCTTTTTGACATACTCATTCACTTCAACATACCTGGCAGCAGGACGAAAGTGACTCGCTACTGAGTTACATCAGTGTCAACCAGCTCCCAATGATGTAAAACCAGAGCACTGCAAAGTGAACCCTTCACTGAGTCTTCAGACAGAGAAGATTAATTTCAAAGCCAGTTCAGAAAATGAAACCACATCAACTATAACGAATACCATCAAGTGCCAGTCCTGGTTTATCAGTCCAGAAAGTTGTTTTGAACATGGAAGTTCATGCACTAAATTAAATTCTGGTTTTGCTGTATTGTACGACAAAGGAATTTGCCTAAAAACGGGAGATGTTCATGCATTCGAATTCAGGCAACTCCACAGTCATAAAAGCCCATGATATCCTTTAAATGAAGGGGAAAAAAACAGAAAACAAAAAAATCTTGTCCAGTTTTAGGGAGTACTTTTTGCCTGTACCTGATCAGAAAGTTCAGAAGCGTTGAATTTTTGGAAAAGGTTATCTGCATAAGAGAAAACTTGATCATTACGTTAGGAAAAGTGAATCACAAATTTTGGAAACTACGATACCTGCTTTTTTTCCTGCTTTAGCGTTTTAGCTAGTACAAAAATATTTCCCATTCCTCTAAGACCAGATGGCTTTAAGTTTTAGCAGCAAAGCTGGAATAGAACTGGAAACACAGAGGTTTTCATTCTCATGAAATGGTAACAGTTTTAAAATTTAGTTTCAGCTCACATCAGGTCCACAGCAAAACTTTCAAAATGTGTTACAGCAGGAGGTTCTGGGCTGGGGAAAAAGACAGAAAAAAACATTTAGGGGAATGCCTCTGTCTGCCTTAGTTTCACTTAGCAAATTCAGGACTTCTAAAAATTTGTGACTTTGGGCCAGTAGGCCCATGTCTCCATGTAGGCAACTCTAGACTAGGAACTTCAGGACTTCCAGACTCTTGGCGTCTCCATGTAGGCAACTCTAGACCAGGAACTTCAGGACTTCCAGACTCTTGGCTCACCTGAAAGACATTCTAGTAGACTCTGTGGTTTTAAGATCCGCATCTTTGATTTGCCATAAATAAATCAAACTTTGCATGTCTTGGCACACAAAGTTTGAGCGTGTTTTTCATGGAATGATTTTACCCAAATTGTTCTGTCTTCTTGTACTGCTGCATGCTGTTCAGCACGCAAAGGATATTGAAAACCTTCTCTAGAAAATGATGTCATCATAGGTATTACAACTGACTCAGTGTAACAGCACGATCAACGCAATGCTTGGCTTTGCCATCTGTTCTTAGGCAAGGAAATATGCTAAGCTGACATAACTATGGATTATCGCTGTCTCCTTTTCCTTGGAAGGTATTAACATCTTTGAAATGGTACCAGAGCCTGATGAGACCCCAGGTATCGCTTTTTGTTTTTCTTCTGCTTTTCTCTGTATACACAAGCCTCAAAATCTCCATCACTGAAGGACTGGCATAGATATCAACTGCCTATGAATATGTTTGTAGAAGCATGTTACTGCTGCACTAGCGCTTACATTTGTTACAAGAACACTCAAATGCGAAGCATTTAAAAGTGCTGCGTCAAGGCACCTGGAAAGCAAAACACCCAAGTACCCTCATGGGGACATAAGCTAGGAGGAAGCAACAGAAACTCTTCCTTGCATGCTCCATAGCTGGAATTCAAACACAAGGGAAGACAACATATGAGGCAATACTCTGCATGGACAGATATGGCACTGTACTGTGGTGTACAGACACATTTCCCTTAAACATTGCATGTAAGTATTTTGCACGTTTCTTCTGTTATACTTCTATTATATTATCCTCCCACTTGGGGAAGGGGGTATATAATAAAAGAATATGCTCCCTATTTTGGAGAATATAATAGTGTTCTTTTGTGGGCTGAAAATATGCAGACCATCAAATCGCAGGAAAGACAAACTTTGGTCCAAGAACTTTTATTATATGGTCTGGACAGCATAACAGGGGCCATCCCCGAGAGCCTCTATGTGCCACCACAGTATACATGTTAAATAACAGCGAGAACACAATAAAGTGGGTGTCTTCCATCTGTGCATCCATCCTATGGCTATGATTCAATGGGAGCTGACTACATCATCAATCAACGTTACCAGTTGCAGTCCAGCAACATCCACAAGTGCAGAACCTACCACCTCTCCAACACACACTTTACAGCACTCCAGCACCAGCTGATGCAAATCCCCAGGCTGTATCCAGTTTCACCAGCAGCACAGCACCAACCAAGCCTGCCAATGCCAGCTCAAACAACACAACCCCAGGCAGGTGAACAACCAAACCTGCACGAGCAGCCTCAGCATCCTGTAAATCCCAGCCAACCGATGTGGCCCCAGCAGCTGGGGAATCCTCACCTACCCACGTACCCCATGAACCCGCTGCCCCGTCTGCTCCCAGACATGCCTCTGGAGCCACAGCAGTCCACCGACAAGGAAAAGCAAGAGGAAATAATAAGAAAGCTTCCCCCCCTACCCCGCCCAACAATTAAGGCCAGCGAGTGTGTTAGTTAATACATGTCTGTGCAGTCACACTCTTGTCAGGTTGGAATGGGTTTATATCAGTTCAGCTTCTGTCAGACTGGAGTAAAAGATGAAATTTTAAACAAATTTGAAATTAAACCAAGCACATGACTATCAGATCAGATCTCTTACTGCAGATCTATCGTATCAACACAGCCTCCAGTCTGTCCTGTCAAAGCTTCACGACGTCACATGGAATTTCAGAGGAAGAAACGTGTATTAACAAACTGTGCAATGCTGTACAAAGGGAAGACTACACTTTGCAGGACCTTACACCCTACAGGAAAACATAAACATACTAACAGCATGGCCTTTGCAACAGATAGAGTTAATAACATGCCCTTTTATGTTTAAAAGAAACCAAGCATGCAATATAGTACGTGCTCACTATGTGATTCAGAAGGCAGGAAGATTATAGCAGCTTCTTTTAACAGTGCAACAAGCTTCCACAACTTTTAGCTCACTGCTTTTCTCCCCATTTTATACTTAAATCTCACTAATGCTTTTACTTGGGAAAAAGCCACAAATCTCATTCTTTCTGTATCTTAAAACTCATTTCTTATCACCACTGGAAAAGAGACAAAACACAAACCACATCACCACTGCACGAGAGCTCTTCGTAAGACTGGTTTTAATTTCATTATTTTCCTTCTCTTTCAGGATTAAAGAGACCAGGAAATCAGAAAAAAGCTAAGGTATTTTAGGCATTTTCACTTGCTTTCAAAAATCAATCCATCTCCTGCAGTCAGTAGTGCATGCCTCCATTAACCCTCCCTTCTCAGTGAGCACTCTAATTGGAAAAACAACAGTGTGTAACTAGCAGAGAATAAAAATAGTTTTTTAAAAGAAAAACATTTTTTGTTGAGCTTGGGATTTAAAAGATGAGCTGGGGGTGTTACACTTTTACCGAAAATAGCACAGTGATTGAGCAGAATAAACACACTATCCCAAAAAATGGTCACACTGTGGTTTGAAAAGCTATGATATACCAAATTATAAAGACTATCTCATAACTTTAATCTGCAAAAAAGTACTTAAAATAGAGACATACCTAATACACACCATGAACTTGTACCATGATTGAATTTGACTTTAGACAGTGAGAACATGACACTGTCGCAAAGTACCCTGCGCTTCTAGTAAAAACATGAAGAAGTAAGTCTCCATGACTAGTTTTGTTTTTACAAATGATCTGAGAACACAAGGCCATATCTTACTCCTCCCCTTACGAATGAGGTAAGAAAGAATACAGTTGTGTTTTTTTTCTGAGAACTGAGAACTTAATAAAAAATATCTTATTAAAATCACTGACTTCACTCACTCCATGTCATAAAAGAGTCTAAACCATTTATATTCCTGTAAAAAGGCACACTCACGCAGGGAGTTATTAGCTATGATATCCTTAAATTAAATTTGACAGGCTTATACTGTAAAAGTTACCTCTATTAAAGGCACAGTGCCAGATCACAGGCTATACCAGCATCCTCAACAGACATACCTAAGGGAAAGGTAGGAGAGAGGTATTTGCTACCAATGCAGCGAGGACTGTCACTGAGCTGGCATGCTGGGGGAAGATTTACACCACACTTGTCAGAATTCACTTTCCCAAAGAGTCAGGAAAACAAAAAGAAAGAGCCTTCAATTCTTTCAGTTAAAAAAAACAAACAAAAACCAAAAACCCCAAGACTGACTCGGGGAAGCCAGCACCACGCTGCCTGTCAGCCCTGCCGGCGCACTCTCAGAGAAAGGCAGCAGAGCTGGCGACAGCAAGGCAGTGATTCAGCCACCAGTGGCGAGCACTGGCTGAGCCTGGGCTAGGTATGCCCCGGGGCGCACGGCTCCCAGCTCCACTGCTGGCCGGGTTGTGCTCACCGGGCACCCACGCCTCCGCCACGCTACGCAGACATCCCCTGAGACTGAGACTTGCAGAGACTGTACTTTGAGTCCCTTAAAGATCTCTACGCTTTTGTTTTGCTTCATTCAACAGGAACAAAACTACCTAGAAGTGAGGAGGGTTCACCTGAACTGGCTGTCTCCATGGCAAACGTGCTACAGAGGCACTGCTGTCAGCAGCGTCAACATGAGCCGCCTATACCACCTGGCTTTAGGTCTAGGCATCAGGCTCTGGCCCTCTTCTCTTCAGCATCACTGACAAAACCCCTCCCCAAGGCATAATTTTTTTCTGTTCAAGTGTTATTTAAAAAGAAAGGATTTTATCCGCTACACTGGACGTTTTGCAGAGCCCCATTATTAGGTAACTCCTTAGTGTCCACTCCAGCCCCAGGAAGCTACACACGGCTCATCTCAAAGTCCCACAGAGAAGAAATGCGGAGAACTGGAAAGGAGCTATTGCAGCACTGGAGATCATGCACTTCAATTCATCTGTAACTCCACCATGCGGGATTGCCCCACTACGTAACATGACACAAACAGAAGAGTTTAAACCTCTATTCGCCTCCCTTGAATTGGTCCTGTATCTGCCCCCGGATCCCAAAGAACAGCTTACAGCAATGAATATCTATACGCAAAACACAGAAGAGACAGTTCACATGAGGAAAAATACAGCAGCAATGGGGGAAGCAAAATCTCCTTTACACAAGAGATTACTCAGGCTTTCTCTGTGCATTGCCCAAAGCCATTGGGAGGTAGTCAAACTACCTCAAATTGACTTCATCTGCCTACGTGGCCCGGCACAATGCTATGCTGAGTTGCCAGCCCGAGTCCTGCACAAGCAGCAGTGCTGCCAGCATGATGCCTGGTCTCTCGTGGAGCAGAGAAGCCCTGGAGCAGCATGGTGCAGCCTTCCCTCTGCCAGGACAGAGCACACGGGGCTGGCCCAAGGGGCAGCAACTGGGGAAAACTGACTTCATGGAGATTGAGTTCAGTTCCATAGAGTGCAGGAAATTGAGCAAAGCAGTGAAAAATAAAAGAAGGCAAGGATGGAGGAAGACAATTAAAAAGGAAGGGAAAAGTAAAGTATGGCGAAAAAAAAAGAGGGGGACCAATAAGCAGTATCAGACAGACAAAACCTTGAACACTGATTAAAAAGTTACTAACCTTTAAGCACAAGTAGATGCAAGAACACTGAATTCAAGTGGAAAAGGTTCAGCTTAATTTGTTCTTAAAGGTAATTTGCAAATTAAGATCAGGCTAATTGCCCTTGTTTGCTTCTGAGAACCAAAGCGAGACTGTCAGAGAAGTGAGAATCAGGAACTGGCATCAGAAAAAGGAAGATATAAAACTAGTTCATTTGAATGAGACTAGCAAAAAGACTGAGGCAACAGCCCTCTGCGTGTAGGCCAGTGGACCTGAAGGGCAACCAAAACCTTGCATATCAACATTTTGAGGGATCTCTACATATTCTTACCTGCTGGCTCACTAAGAGAAGATTTCCAAGGCCATAAGTGACAACTCAGAGCCACAGCCAACTGGGAAGCATGTTGGCACATTAACCATTTGCAAACACAAGAAATGCGTATCTCCGAATCCATGCTTCTGAAAACCTGTCCCCTAATGGAGACTTTGTGAGAGCAAATCAGCTATCAGTTAGGTGCCCGTATGTTACCACCTTGCAATGATTTATAGCTGCCATTTATGATTTTCAGAAAGGTCCATTTTTATGATTACCCTGCCAAAAGACATGAAGTGACAACTTAAGAGAATGATAACAGCAAACAATCTTTTTCCTTCATGTATAGTCCACTTCTACAGAAATGCAGCCCACTATTCTAATGTCACTTGTTCCAGAAGTCCTCCCCCACGTATTTACCATTTTTAAATTTTGAAAGCAGCATTTCCCAGTTCGCTAGCTCCCACCTGAGAAAGAATTATTCCCTCACTTCCTAACATATAACTAAGGAAAAATGAAAGATGAGCTCAACTTACCATCAAGCAACATACCCACTAGCTTCACATTCCTTCCCTCACCTCTACCTTTGCTATACAGCTTTTCGTAGAGGAAGAGAGCATACAGGCATAACATATTTGCATGGAGCAGACAACTCAAGGAAGTTAAGAAAATCACCTGCATCTTGCTGAGCTCCTTCTTCTTCCTACAGCTACTGACCTACTGCTGGAGAAAAAGGTAACCTCTATAAATACACGACACATTTGGCATAGGCCGCTGCTGGAAATCAAGGCAGAGATAAGCAATGCCTGAAAAGACTTTATTTTCTTTAACCACAGCCAATTGGCTTTTGCAGGAGACCACTAACTAGAAAAAAAATCCTGTAAGAGACTGAAAGGGACAGACTGGGAAAGAAAACACAGAGGGGAGAGAATGACAAAAAAACAATTAGGGGAAGCCTCCAGCAGATAGCAGGGGGCATCACACTAGCAACCTGAGAAGATGGAGGAGTTTCCTAAGATAACAGAATCAAGGCAGGCTGAGATAGTGAGAAGTACTGAATATCCCACTAGAGACGAGAGAAAAAGGTAGATGAAACTTTGGGGAAAGCAAAGGGACACGGGTGTAAAGTAAAGAATAAAACAGAGAAGGAGAGCTTACAAAAAAGAAGATGAAAATCAATGTGAGACCATATGAAATTAATTGAAATTCGTCTAGAAAGCAGAACAGTTATGATTTCCCCTAAGGGATTAATATCTCTGTTTCTCTTGATAGAAGTTCACATGCAAAGACTATTTATTATTGTTGCCTAAAAATTCCAGCAAAGTAAAGTACAAGGATTCTCAAGTCTAAAGCATCCATGGGAAATTTCTCTTCCTGACAGCTAAAATCAACCAAATTGGTACGTTTCAAATATCATAACATGACGAAAAAGAACAGCATGAAGTGGCTCAGGTATTTTTTTTTCCATCACTTTTATTCTACCATCAAAGCCATGTAAAATGACTGAAAAACATTCTCCAAAAAACAACCGAGTTAAGAATTTTTTTGGGCCCCACAGGGATTCCCAGCAACTCAGAGCTGTTTGTGGAATGCAGCCGCGCTGGGAGGCTTCATCTCTTCGCCAAGCAGGAGCAGAGGGATC